TTCAATAGCAAAAAGTTTAAGTAACAGGTTGTTCAAAAGTTAGCTTACAGGACCATTACATCACTATAAGATTTTCACAAAGATATATAAATAGGACACATGTGCAATCACTTTCAGTAATCTTACTTTGAAAACATTTCGCTCCACCAGTGGGCGTTATTCAGTCCAATACTAAGAAGAAAGGTGAAAATCAAATAGGAGTTTTAGGTAATCAGTCCCTCAAGCCTGAACTCGATGTAACAGATCCATCAGTCTTGAAAGAATACAGAATATGAAGCGAAAAAGAACTTACAGCTACTGTATTTCTGCAGTCCTTCTTTCGTGCATATTCTATATTTCTTTGCACGAAATGATGGACTTAATACCTGGACTCCAGACTGAAGAACTGATTACCCACAATTTCTCCTCTATCTAATTCATTATCCTTTTGTATTGGACCTGATGAAGCCCACTGTGAGCGGAAACGTATCCACAAGATACCCACAAGTGGTGCACATTGTCTAATTAATCGAGATCTTTGTCGGTTCTCTGAACCCATATATCAAACACTCACTTATCAAAACACTCACCAGCTCAGTTTTTGGTCAACATACTAGAGAATGGATATGAATGCACTGGTAGAACATCACAGAATGAACATAAATAAAATCCATAATAGACATGTTTCCATACGAGGACAACTGAGAGTCTTGACCATCACTCCAGAGAACTGAATAAAGAGGATATTAACATTTAGGTATATACGAGAAGGACAAACATAAACAAAGGGCAAGACAAACAAAGTACCAAAGACAAATGCTGAAACTGGAAAGAACTCAAAATAACGATTAAAAATTTGAAATAAATTTGAAATATTAGAATGCACGTAGGAAAGTACAGGTTTTCAAGTTTGTTCGGTGAGTGGTAACAATCTACCAAGTATGATCAATAGTAGGGCTAAAACCATCGAGAAATTTAAAAAAGGTCAGATAAAGGAGTGTGAAAGTTTGTTAGTTTTTGGAAATAGTTGGAAAAATAAGAAAGTGTTGAATGATTGTCATTTTTGAGATGGACCCTGCCTGGTATGGGCCATTAATGCCTCCTGCAGTGTTTCCTCCATTCTTATGCTCTATTAATGTTACGAACTCTAAAGTATTAAGTTCTCGAAGAAAAGACGTAAAAAGAAAATGAATCCATGAAATATACTTTACAAAAGAGAATCTTTGTGGAGTACTCATGTGAGGTTTCAGGTAGGAAGTATGTAAGTACAACAACTACATGTCGAATTTAACATTAATTATGATACCCCAGATAATGTAGCACCATAAAAATAATATTAATATAATATAGATAATCAACGAAATGTTAATTAAAAACAATAAAAACCATAAGCAAAGGAAAAATGAACAAACAACTAGAGTTTTTACTGAGATTGATTATTCAAATAATTTTATAAAATTAATTTAATAAAACCTCGAGTAATAAAAACCAAATGTATTTTTATTTATTTTGTTTATTATGAGCTATCATTTTATGTTTTATTCAAAATTTTTTATGATCTACCTACATGATTGTATTCTGAATTTGATATTATTGTATAAGCTATTTACAAAAAACTGAAATGAAACGGGGTGCTTCTATATATATTTGCTTATAAAGAAACAAGAATAACTCAAACATCATCATTGTGATAGTTATTAACAAGTGTAACTTTCATGTCATCTTTTACTTATAATATTGTTCAAAAACACCAGAACTCAGTATTATATAGAATTATAAATTATTTTTCAAGTACACTAGACAGTATCGCAGACAATGTTTATGACACAACTGTGAGTCACACACTGTGGCAAACACAATTTTTTTGTAATAAATAATACAGCTTAGCAAAAATTTATCATAAATATAAATGAATTGTTGAAAAAGACAGTTGTTGTTGCTAAGGTTCCATATGAACAGTACAGCAACATTTTTTGTTTTGTTTTAACAAGTTGGTCGTCTCCCACCGAGGCAGGGTGACCCAATAAGAAAGAAAATCCCCAAAAAGAAAATACTTTCATCATCATTCAACTCTTTTACCTCACTCACACATAATCACTGTTTTTGCAGAGGTGCTCAGAATACAACAGCTAGAAGCATTTACGTATAAAGATACACAACATATCCCTCCAAACTGCCAATATCCCGAACCCCTCCTTTAGAGTGCAGGCATTGTACTTCCCATTTCCAGGACTCAAGTCCGGCTATATAAAAATAACCGGTTTCCCTGAATCCCTTCACTAAATATTACCCTGCTCACACTCCAGCAGATCGTCGGGTCCCAAATACCATTCGTCTCCATTCACTCCTATCTAACACGCTCACGCACGCCTGCTGGAAGTCCAAGCCCCTCGCCCGCAAAACCTCCCTTACCCCTTCCTTCCAGCCTTTTCGAGGACGACCCCTACCCCGCCTTCCTTCCCCTACAGATTTAAATGCTCTCCTTGTCATTCTACTTTGATCCAAACCACCTCAACAACCCCTCTTCATCCCTCTGAATTTTCTGCATAATATTGACATCACACATTGCCCTTAGACAGGACATCTCCACTTCCTCCAACCGCCTCCTCGCTGCTGCATTCACAACCCCAGCTTCACACCTATATAAGAGTGTTGGTACTACTAAACTTTCATACATTCCTTTCTTTGCCTCCACAGATATTGTTTTTTTTGTCTCCACATGTACCTCAACTCACCACTCACCTTTTTTCCTCATCAATTCTATGATTAACCTCATCCTTCATAAATCCATCCGCCGACACGTCAACTCCCAAGTATCTGAAAACATTCACTTCTTCCATATTCCTCCTCCCCAATTTGATATCCAATTTTTCTTTATCTAAATCATTTGATACCCTCATCACCTTACTCTTTTCTATGTTCACTTTCAACTTTCTACCTTTACACACACTCCCAAACTCGTCCACTAAACTTTGCAATTTTTCTTTAGAATCTCCCATAAGCACAGTATCATCAGCAAAAAGCAACCGTGTCAATTCCCATTTTGTATTTGATTCCCATAATTTAATCCCACCCCTCTCCCGAACACCTAGCATTTACTTCTTTTTTCAACCCCATCTATAAATATATTAAACAACCATGGTGGCATTACACATCCCTGTCTAAGACCTACTTTTACCGTGAAGTTAGTCTCCCTCTCTTCTACAACCCTAACCTGAGCCTCACTATCCTCATAAAAACTCTTTACAGCATTTAGTAACTTACCACCTATTCCATATACTTGCAACATCTGCCACATTGCTCCCCTATCCACTCTATCATATGCCTTTCATAAATCCATAAATGCAATAAAAACTTCCTTACCTTTATCTAACTACTGTTCACTTATATGCTTCAATGTAAACACTTGATCTACACATCACCTGCCCACTCTAAAACCTCTTTGCTCATCCGCAATACTACATTCTGTTTTACCTCTAATTCTTTCAATTATAACCCTACCGTACACTTTTCTTGGTATACTCAGTAAACTTATTCCTCTATAATTTTTACAATCTCTTTTGCCCCCCTTCCCTTTATATAAAGGGACTAGACATGCTCTCCGCCAATCCCTAGGTACCTTCCCCTCTTTCATACATTTACAGCAACATATAAGTAAATAAAACCGCAATATACGAGACACAAACAAAGAGGCGAATTTGTCAAATTGCATAATCGTCTGTTGATATTTTTTTGCCAATAATGGTCAACTTTATCCCCAGAGAGTTGTTATTTTTTGCGTGCATCATTTATAGCAATATTTGTATTAATTTATATAGTGGAGATAAGTGTGGATGAGAGAAGACTATGGATACTGAGACGTATTCAGTGAATATTTTGTGAATTCTGAGTCACACCCCAAATTTTTTCGAAGATATAAATGTCAATTTGGGAGATTTAATTAAGGAAGATGTTGCAGAAAAGTGCACCAAAATAAAGCAACGGTATATCAACTACAAGAAA